ATGGTTTGTTTAAGCACAATCTCTGGTCTTTAGTTAAATAAACTCCACCGGCTATTCGTTCATGAAGAAAAATGCAAGATTTGTCAGCAGAAAGAGTGCTTAGTCCTTAGGGCTCTATGTAAATCTGTAAATGAAATGGCGGTATCTTACAATTACCGTCTGTTATGCCAAGAGGTTAACTATGAGCAGCACAAGAGCCGTTTGAGAGCTGAGTGGGTAGAGACTGTCTATGGCAGGGCCTTACCAGCTAGAATATACGATATAGACCTCGCTACCTTTCCAGAACCGCCAGGTGGTTGTCAAATCAAGGAAAGGCCATAACACTTCTCAGTGACACCAGGGAATGTCTCCAAACTATGCAACACTGTGACCGAAATGGTCTTTGACAAACATAAGTGCAGTGGAGATATGTGTGTGTTAGTACTTACCTTTGCTAAACACTTCACCCCAGACATTGTTTCCAGTAACACTCCAGATCTCTAAACAGTCCTGTTTTTTCCATTTTACAAAATGTGCAGATTGCAATAGAAAATTACACATTTATAACTTAACCTTGTTACACCCCCCTGGCTGTCAATCAAACACCGGGTCCTGTTACTTCCTGGTTTGGTTAACTCAGTGGAACTAAATTCAAGAGGCAGCAATTGCTCAGAGCACCTGCCTTGCAAAGACTTCTCACTGAACTGCTTTGGGCAGTCTGTGATTGGACAGTCACAGAAAGTTTGGGAGGGGTTACAATACATAATTAAATACATGCATGTTTTAATTGGGCGTATATCTACTAAATAGTCATTTTTAAAAATATATATTCTTGCATTTGGCACTGGTATCCCTTTAAGAGGAATTTAGTGGGGTTTATTGAACATGACAGGTCTCAAGCAACAGCTGACCATTCCTCTTTAACTGGTACTGTTTCAATCAAACTGAAAATGAAAAAAAACTGACCTCTGATTTATCAATATATTATACCTTGTTATGAATGATCACAGCTGTGCGCATGCAGAATTCTTCATTTTAACGCTCCTATGCTGAGATAAACTGCGACAAATTTACAATTGTCAGAGATAAAAGCCAGCAACATTAACCATGTTCGCATCTTGCACCCACTGGCATCATTTGAAATAATGACAGCCGGCAACTCGGGTAATTATTCCGATCTTGCAGGGACAATGATGAAACCCTACAAGCATCAGACTGGATCTTTTACAGCCTCCTGTTAACTGCTCGGAAATAACATTTACCTGTATCGGATAATAAGAGAGCACACATGCAAAGTAACTGGCAATAAGAAAATACTGGGGGCTCTGTAAATAGATTTATAAATGCATATAACGGAGTTAAATCGATGCATTATCAAACTCCTTTATTCCTGTATTCCTGAGTAACGATTATAGTGAGGGTTTATTGCAGTTAGTGAGTGAGTTTGGATCCGGTGCTGTGATAATCCATTGTGTAGAATAGTGATTATAGAAGGCACCACAAGGTGGTAAAACCAACGCTAGTTAATTAGTTACAAATTGTATTTGCAAAGTCCCTTAAAGTATGCAGAATCATCACACATCATCAGGATTCCTCTGATATTGCTGGACTGACTGGTTGTTTGCATTCTTACCTGGAGATTCCCAGAGTGCAGATAATTTCTCAGGGTATACAGGATCCACAGCACAGCATGTCTCCCCAAGGTATACAGGATCTTGGACTCAGTGTGTCTCCGCAGGGTATACAGGATCCAGGGCACAGCGTGTCTCCCCAAGGTATACAGGATTTTGGACACAGTGTGTCTCCCCAGGTATACAGGATCCAGGGCACAGCGTGTCTCCCCAGGTTATACAGGATCCAGGGCACAGCGTGTCTTCCTAAGGTATACTGGATCTTGGACTCAGTGTGTCTCCCCAGGGTATACAGGATCCAGGGCACAGCACATCTCCCCAGGGTATACAGGAATCTGGACACAACGCGTCTCCCCAGGGTATACAGGATCCAGGGCACAGCACGTCTCCCCAGGGTATACAGGATCCAGGGCACAGCACGTCTCCCCAGGGTATACAGGATCCAGGGCACAGCACGTCTCCTGACGCATGGTATAGGGCAGAGGGACATGTTCTATTCTACGCAGAACCTGGCGCAAGGCATAGGGCAGACAGACAGGTTTTATTCTACCCAGAGCCTGGAGCATGGCATAGGGAAGTCAGACAGGTTCTATTCCACCCAGAGCCTGGCGCAAGGCAAAGGGTCAGCCAGACAGGTTCGATTCTACCCATAGCCTGGAGCATGGCATAGGGCAGCCGGACAGGTTCTATTCTACCGAGAGCCTGGAGCATGGCATAGGGAAGCCACAGAGGTTCTATTATACACATAGCCTGGAGCATGGCATTGGGCAGACGGACAGGTTCTATTCTACCCATAGCCTGGAGCATGGCATAGGGCAGCCGGACAGGTTCTATTCCAACCAGAGCCTGGAGAATGGCATAGGGCAGCCGGACAGGTTCTATTCTACCGAGAGCCTGGAGCATGGCATAGGGCAGCCACACAGGTTCTATTCTACCGAGAGCCTGGAGCATGGCATAGGGCAGCCGCACAGGTTCTATTCTACCGAGAGCCTGGAGCATGGCATAGGGCAGCCGCACAGGTTCTATTCTACCCAGAGCCTGGAGCATGGCAAAGGGCAGTCTGACAGGTTCGATCTATTCCACCCAGAGCCTGTAGCATGGAATAGGGCAGCCGGACAGGTTCGATTCTACCCAGAGCCTGGAGCATGGCATAGGGCAGACGGACAGGTTCTATTCCACCCAGAGCCTGGAGCATGGCATAGGGCAGCCGGACAGGTTCTATTCCACCCAGAGCCTGGAGCATGGCATAGGGCAGCCGGACAGGTTCTATTCCACCCAGAGCCTGGAGCATGGCATAGGGCAGACGGACAGGTTCTATTCCACCCAGAGCCTGGAGCATGGCATAGGGAAGCCGCACAGGTTCTATTCTACCCAGAGCCTGGAGCATGGCAAAGGGCAGTCTGACAGGTTCGATTTTACCCAGAGCCTGGAGCATGGCAAAGGGCAGTTTGACAGGTTTGATTTTACCCAGAGCCTGGAGGAATGGCATAGGGCAGACGGACATGTTCTATTCCACCCAGAGCCTGTAGCATGGAATAGGGCAGCCGGACAGGTTCGATTCTACCCAGAGCCTGGAGCATGGCATAGGGCAGACGGACGGGTTCTATTCCACCCAGAGCTGGAGCATGGCATAGGGCAGACGGACAGGTTCTATTCTACCCAGAGCCTGTAGCATGGCATAGGGCAGCCGGACAGGTTCTATTCTACCCAGAGCCAGGAGCATGGCATAGGGCAGCCGGACAGGTTCTATTCCACCCAGAGCCTGGAGCATGGCATAGGGCAGCCGGACAGGTTCTTCACCCAGAGCCTATGGAGCATCCACCCAGAGCCTGGAGCATGGCATAGGGCAGCGGACAGGTTCTATTCTACCCAAAGCCTGGAGCATGGCATAGGGCAGCCAGACAGGTTCTATTCTACCCAGAGCCTGGAGCATGGCATAGGGCAGCCGCACAGGTTCTATTCTACCCAGAGCCTGGAGCATGGCAAAGGGCAGTCTGACAGGTTCGATTTTACCCAAGCCTGGAGCATGGCAAAGGGCAGTCTGACAGGTTCGATTTTACCCAGAGCCTGGAGCAATGGCATAGGGCAGACGGACATGTTCTATTCCACCCAGCCTGTAGCATGGCATAGGGCAGCCGGACAGGTTCGATTCTACCCAGAGCCTGGAGCATGGCATAGGGCAGACGGACAGGTTCTATTCCACCCAGAGCTGGAGCATGGCATAGGGCAGACGGACAGGTTCTATTCTACCCAGAGCCTGTAGCATGGCATAGGGCAGCCGGACAGGTTCTATTCTACCCAGAGCCAGGAGCATGGCATAGGGCAGCCGGACAGGTTCTATTCCACCCAGAGCCTGGAGCATGGCATAGGGCAGCCGGACAGGTTCTATTCCACCCAGAGCCTGGAGCATGGCATAGGGCAGCCGGACAGGTTCTATTCCACCCAGAGCCTGGAGCATGGCATAGGGCAGCCGGACAGGTTCTATTCCACCCAGAGAACATGGCATAGGGCAGCCGGACAGGTTCTATTCCACCCAGAGCCTGGAGCATGGCATAGGGCAGCCTGACAGGTTCTATTCTACCCAGAGACTGACGCATGGTATAGGGCAGAGGGACATGTTCTATTCTACGCAGAACCTGGCGCAAGGCATAGGGCAGACAGACAGGTTTTATTCTACCCAGAGCCTGGAGCATGGCATAGGGCAGTCGGACAGGTTCTATTCCACCCAGAGCCTGGCGCAAGGCAAAGGGTCAGCCAGACAGGTTTGATTCTACCCATAGCCTGGAGCATGGCATAGGGCAGCCGGACAGGTTCTATTCTACAGAGAGCCTGGAGCATGGCATAGGGAAGCCACAGAGGTTCTATTCTACCCATAGCCTGGAGCATGGCATTGGGTAGACGGACAGGTTCTATTCTACCCATAGCCTGGAGCATGGCATAGGGCAGACAGGTTCTATTCCACCCAGAGCCTGGAGCATGGCATAGGGCAGCTGGACAGGTTCTATTCTACCCAGAGCCTGGAGCATGGCATAGGGCAGCCGCACAGGTTCTATTCTACCCAGAGCCTGGAGCATGGCAAAGGGCAGTCTGACAGGTTCGATTTTACCCAGAGCCTGGAGCATGGCAAAGGGCAGTCTGACAGGTTCGATTTTACCCAGAGCCTGGAGCATGGCATAGGGCAGCTGGACAGGTTCTATTCTACCCAAAGCCTGGAGCATGGCATAGGGCAGCCAGACAGGTTCTATTCTACCCAGAGCCTGGAGCATGGCATAGGGCAGCCGCACAGGTTCTATTCTACCCAGAGCCTGGAGCATGGCAAAGGGCAGTCTGACAGGTTCGATTTTACCCAGAGCCTGGAGCATGGCAAAGGGCAGTCTGACAGGTTTGATTTTACCCAGAGCCTGGAGCAATGGCATAGGGCAGACGGACATGTTCTATTCCACCCAGAGCCTGTAGCATGGAATAGGGCAGCCGGACAGGTTCGATTCTACCCAGAGCCTGGAGCATGGCATAGGGCAGCCGGACAGGTTCTATTCCACCCAGAGCCTGGAGCATGGCATAGGGCAGCCGGACAGGTTCTATTCCACCCAGAGCCTGGAGCATGGCATAGGGCAGACGGACAGGTTCTATTCCACCCAGAGCCTGGAGCATGGCATAGGGCAGCCGGACAGGTTCTATTCCACCCAGAGCCTGGAGCACGGCATAGGGCAGCCAGACAGGTTCTATTCCACCCAGAGCCTGCCTGGAGCACGGCATAGGGCAGCCAGACAGGTTCTATTCCACCCAGAGCCTGGAGCATGGCATAGGGCAGCCGGACAGGTTCTATTCCACCCAGAGCCTGGAGTATGGCATAGGGCAGCCGGACAGGTTCTATTCCACCCAGAGCCTGGAGCATGGCATAGGGCAGCCGGACAGGTTCTATTCCACCCAGAGCCTGGCGCATGGCATAGGGCAGCCGGACAGGTTCTATTCTACCCAGAGCCTGGAGCATGGCATAGGGCAGACAGGTTCTATTCCACCCAGAGCCTGGAGCATGGCATAGGGCAGACAGGTTCTATTCCACCCAGAGCCTGTAGCATGGCATAGGGTAGCCGGACAGGTTCTATTCCACCCAGATCCTGGAGCATGGCATAGGGCAGACGGACAGGTTCTATTCTACCCATAGCCTGGAGCATGGCATAGGGAAGACAGGTTCTATTCCACCCAGAGCCTGTAGCATGGCATAAGGCAGCCGGACAGGTTCTATTCCACCCAGAGCCTGTAGCATGGCATAAGGCAGCCGGACAGGTTCTATTCCACCCAGAGCCTGGCACATGGCATAGGGCAGCCTAGCTGAATGAATTCCACACGGGATGATCATAAAATTAAAGATGGAAGAGGTTACATTAAAGACGGAGGAGGTCACAAAGTAACAATACAAAAAATAAATACTGTGTGGGTCTGTGTGTTCCGCGAATTGAGCACTGGATTGAAATATAGAACAAAACTGGGGAAATATTCAATATTTTTGCATGTGTCCTAAAAATAAGAAAGAAAACTTTGAAATGAGGTTAAGTTAAGCCTGGATCTCCGTGCAATGTATGGCGCTTAGGTAAAAATATATGCAGAATAGGCAGAGATAGAATAGCTGATTAATTTGGGATGAGAGACTCTTGCCTCTAGAGTCCATTGATCTTGAGCGCCACGAGGTACGAAATAAAACAGTACATGAAAAGCTTACACCAGTTCAACCAGCATACCCCAGTCCTCCTATCTTGTCCCTTGATCTTTCCGTGCACCCGGGGGATCTCTTTATTTACTGCTCTAATCAATACGAGTCATTCATTATTCATTCCCCTCCCTCTCCCCTGCAGTAACACATTTTTTGGATCCTTAACTGCCGGGAACAGCTTGTTAATATTCAGTGAGCTAAATCTGCTTTTAAATGAAGGACACCCTTAAAGCTTGTATAATTGGACTAAGGTTCCTGTACTGTGACCTTGTCAAATCTATGCACGATCCCAACCAAATCGGGAATAAGGGGGAAGAAAAATAAAGAAAGAAAGAAAATCAAATCTCTCTTTGAAAGTGTAGCAATAGGAGACACCTGTCAATAGTTTTAAGCTTGCAATCGCCGTGAAAAATCTCGCAAATCACACTCAGGGTCGTTGAAATGAATTCTGGGTAGCCGGAGGGTCGATACTGTTGAGATGAAGGTGGAGTGGATTTCGAGGCCACAGGGTGCACAAATAGTGAAGCGGAAAGTTGACATGTAGACACTTATGTTTTTTCAGCCTTTAATGAGCCGTGAATATTTTTATTCAATAATGCATTGGGAAATATTATGCAGCCGACAGCGCCATCATTACCATATTCTAAAAATGCTAAAGACCGACCTAATAAAAACCTCTTAGAATTGTATATTGATCCCTAATTCACTAGATTAGTCTACATCCTGTGCGTTTGGAATGGCCCCCGGCAATAACTATCTGTCATAAATATTAGTACAGCGAAATCTAAGATTTTCAGTGTTGATGGATTTTCCTAATTGGCCAGTTATCGTACAAGGCAGGAGCTCTTTGAATTGCTGATTACTGTGAAGATATCTTTTTTATAATACTTGAAGCATTATTTAGATACACTTACAAATGATAATCATATCATAATATTGAAAAATATATGCAGTTTTTAAAATTAAACATTGACGTAGCTAAACAATTGGTTAAATACACATTCAATAAATGTTGGATATTAGAATTTCACAAGAACAAATTATGGCTTTCTTTTTAAATATAACCCTGTTTGCCAATGTATCACAAGGTAACAGTTTATTTCCATGAAGATATAGAGGCATTTCATTCTATTCTACTGTTATTGTGTCATGCCATCTATATTTTATTTAATGTCATTTGTCGTTAATTATAGCTTTATGATTTTGTATGCTATTGGTTTATTTATAGCCTCCCTGAGCCAGAAGAATGATCCAGATGTGGTCCTATCGCTCACTGTGTGTAGCGGATCTAAGCTACACCTCAATGACGAAGCCTATTGATGGCCGAAACAATTGCGAGGAGTCACTGTATCTCTTCAGAAAAAATACATTTGTCCATCAAGTCCAGCCATTAAGTTCAGCCTAGAGACGTTTCATAGCTTAGCGCGTAGTGACAAAAGTGGCGTGTTTGACTCCTTAGTGTCCACATGTTACTTTTGGCATGAAAGCTTAAAGGACAAATGTAACTAAATGTTCACTTCTTGTTTTTTTTAAAAATAAGTTCATTATATGTAATGCAAGTTAATAATTTGTTTAATTGAAGTTTACACATTTTTGGAAAAAGGTTCACTGTTTTTATCTGGCTGAGTGGCCATATTGAATCAGACTCGACTGTTATCTGACCAACTGCTGCTCAGCCTAACTTGCTGCCGCTGCGATTGCTCTGTGTGAACCTGCAGCTACAGACAAAGTAGGTTGAGCAGCAGTTGGTCAGATAACAGTCGAGTCTGATTCAATATGGCCACTCAGCCAGATAAAAAGATTTATAGTAAATAATGAATACCATGATATAAACAGAGACAGCAATACATAACGGTTAAAAGATAATCTATCCAGATGTGTTAAGTAAATTACGTTTTGTTTAAACAAAATCAGCTCATAAATATCTAATGAACCCGCCATCAATGATGAACTAGATTTATTTTAATAAAAACAAAAAAATATATAAAGGCTGCATAACAAATTATGTTTAACTGTTGTGCACGAAGGATAAACCAATAAAAGAAGAAACTTTATAGAAAGAAAAAAGTCAGACAAGTTCCAAAATTCTGCGTAAATAAAATAGCTAATATTATTATTACTGGTTATTCCGCAGCGCTTTACAATACTAAGAAAGGGATATATTTACAATAAATGAGACAATTACACAGTGACACAGGAACAATAGGTAGTTGAGGACCTGGCTCGAAGGAGCTAACAGTCTAGATGCTAAATGTGACGAAATGCCTTTTGTCCCTGGATTGTTAGGTGACAAGCTGCCCTTTGCCCCCGGCTTTTGGAGGAGCCTGATTGCCAGCCTCCTTCCTCATGACTATGGCCCTGGGGTGTATTGCCATTTAAAAAGACTATTTGAGGCTTATTGGCTTCTAAAGACAGTTTCTTCCCATTTGAATCCATGGGAAGGTGTGTTTCTTCCCCTCCCCCGTTTCCTGTCTATTGTTCACCTAGATTGGGCGCTCAGATCCGAGCTATCTGGGGATAGGTTAAATGTGGGGGTTCTGTGTAATATAATAAGAATTATGTATTTTTATGTACTTTTACGTATTTTGCTGTTAGTGTAAAATGTAGATATTTTCTGTACCTGGAGATAATTGAGTTTACTGCAGTGCCTTAAGCCAATTATCTCCAGGATGGAGAGGAGGGATTTCATTGTTTATGTGAGAGTGTTATCATGTTAATTAGTGTTCCCATTGGTTTGTGTCCCTTTTGTCACAGTTTACCACCAGGTCCAGGGGGTGTGCCTCTGACCTGAAAACTTGTATATAAGGAGTAATAAACGCTCATTGGAGTCAGATCATCTTGTACCTTCATGAAGTTTCGGCTCATGTTTGGGGGATTGGAGAAACTACACTCTGGGGATTGCTATAATCACTATACTCCCCAGGGTATAATCACTAAGCTCTGCTAAGAGCTTGTTCCTGTTCCTGCTCTCTGGAATTCGGAGAGAGGTCGACCTGCTGGAAGCTGGACCCTGGTCCTGGGTCCAGAGTGGGTGGAGACGGCGAGACCCCAACCAAGCTGCGGCGGTTCGTGGGGTCTGCAGTGGTTATGGTGTCAGGCAGAGTGCTTGGAGTCCTCGGAAAGCACTAGGAGCATCCGTCGGCGGAAGGTACCCGGTCGGGGTGCCAGCGGTTCCGTTACACTAAATATTATATATTATACATACACACTCATTCTGTTACAATCAGCTTAACCTTGGATTGAAACCATTGGTCATGCAGGCAGTTTACAATGTCTACGTAATTAATAAATACATTGGATTTTTCCAAGTACGTTTGCTTTAAACCCTGATAGTTGCTGGTGGAGTTAATGGTGTCCTTTATGAGTGGATATTTCTGATATTTCTGCGTCCTATGCTGTCTAGTCCCGTTCGGCCTTTATATGGGAGCTCTGACCAGCCCTGTACTGCTGTGACTCCTATAAACCAGGTGATTTGACCCTGAACCTGTTATCTAGGTGAGTAGATTTCAAGCAGTCAGCCGTGGCAGACCAGCGTGCTGCAAGCCACCTCAAAGTGTGTCCTAAACACATTAACGTCAGGGCTGTAAAAGGTTGAAAGAAGTAATTTAAAGGGACACTCCAGAACCCTAGAGCACTTTAGCTTTCTGAAGTTGTTTACGTGTGAAGAGTGGGTTCCCTATTTTTTTTCATTTTACAAAAAGTGCAGATTTAAATCGAAATTTTCACTTTTATAAATGTACCGTGTTACACCCCCGTGGCTTTCAATCAGACAACCGGTCCTGTTACTTCCTGGTTTGGTTAGCTCAATGGAGGTAAACTCAAGAGGCAGCAATTGCCCAGAGACCCTGCGTTGTAAAAACTTCTCATTGAGCTGCATTGGGAAGTCTGTGATTGGACAGCCACAGAAAGTCTGGGCGGGGTTAGAAGGGGGGGCTTGCAAAAGCAGCAAGAGATCTTACATATTCCTCCAGTGATTAAATTCATGCATGTTTTCATTAGGGGTACATCTACTAAACTGTGATTTTTTAAAAGATTTTTTTTGGGG